AATAGCATTCATAATTAATATTCATTAGTATTGTATTGTAATGCGAGAGAGAGAGAGAGAGAGAGAGCTTTATAAATAAAATATCATTTAATATCTTAAATTTGTGACTAAAATATTAATTTTCATATTTATTATCGATTTAAACAAATGATTTCAAACGAATTTAATATCAATTACATATTTATATGAAAATGTAGTCATTTTTCAAACATGTTCTGCAATTTCAAACTCGTTTAAGAAAATCTCTTTTTTTAAGAATTTAGTTTTCATTGATTTGATAAAAATTTAATATATTTGTGAAGGTCTTCACAATAGGACTCTTAAATTCTAAACAATTTGATAGTTGTGTGAAATAAATCACTTTCTGTAGAGGTTTTACAGATTTTTTAGAGCATATATTTCTTAGACAAACGCATATTTGTTTCATAAGAGATTGAGATCTGATCAGAGAAATCAAAATGTATAGATGTGTGGCACTAGTGTTGGTAGGAATCGCCTATACTTATGGCACAGATGTGCCTCCGATACCGTCTTTCGCTGCCATCGATGCCAATGACATCGATGTGAGAGAAGCGCTTCTCTTCGCCTTCGGACCCAATAAAACGAAGGAAAAGCAAATTGAGTTATTGGAGAGCAAAAAGATCTACAAACTTAAAGTTATGGTCAGTTATTTCAAGAATTGCAGTGAAGATGATAAGACAAATGTTTGGGTTTTTAAAACACCGGACGGAGTATGCAAAGTATGTATCGTTTAGTTTAATTTGATTTTTTGCATAACTTTATACTGTATTTCAATTTAAAATGCATTTTCGACGGCTGATAGACGACACAGACGTGTGATGCAGAAGTGGTTCAATTGAATTCAACACAACCTCCCTTTAAATTGGATTCAATTAATTGTGTCGCTTAATAGCGCTTTTTGGGTACTCTTTATAATTGTTTTCATTTTTTATAATTCTTATATTAATTGAAAATATTTTAATATTGTATAACCATGAAACTTTTGAAATTAATTGTTACCACTTTCATAGTATAGTTTAATAGTATAGCTCTCTGCAAGACAGCCCATGGAAATGATAGTAATTGTCAACTAATATTGCATAAGTTTTAAGACTATTTTTAATTATTGAGAATTTTTAATTTTAAAAATCACAAAATTATAAATAATTTAAAATAAAATTTTAATAAATAAATATCAATAATTAGCACCAACAGTAGATAAATGTGATTTTTAGTTACGTTAGACTTACGGTATAATGTACTGTACTTTTGTTATTAAAGAAATAGAGAAAACCCCTTAAAAACTACAAATAAATTTGTAATTTAAATGTTTTACAAAGTAAATTAAATATAAATTAAAATTACTAATAATAAAACTAATAAAATAATGTTTGAATAAAAGAGATATGAAATTAATTAATTGAAGAGAAGAGAGGGAAGAGTTCAATGGATTGTATCCGAGATTAACGCTAAACAAAAGCAAAGAAAATAGCGATAAAAAACAGTTACTTTTTCAACACTAAAAGCACACAAACTGTTGCTTCAAATTAACGCAACATTTATTTTATTGTTAATCTTTTTGTGTGAATAAAACAAAAAACACATTTCAGTACTGAAAGAGTGAAAGAGTTATTAAAGTAATCAATTGTACGCAAAATTCAACACTACTTTAGTTTTTGAAATAACAGGCAATCAATTGGTAGACAAATAACCATTGATTAAGAGATGAGCGCATCTGTTGTTGTCGTCAATGAGACCAATGATTTGGTTGACTGTATTGTTAGCGATGAGAGCGTCGCTCAGACTGAGAGCGGCGGCGATGCGGCCGACACTGGCGTCCGTGCGGTCGGTCTTCACTTTGACTTGTCTTCGGTCGAGGCGGCGGTCGAGCGGCTGCTGACCTACAGTCCCGACACTCAGACGGTTGAAGTGCCGGCGGTTGAAGTGGTGGACGACATGAGAGCGCCCAAAAAGGCGGACGCCGTGTGTCCTCCGGAGCCGATGTCTCGTCCGTCGCGATCTCGTGTCCGCAAATCGTTGGCCGAAAAGTTTTTGACTCGAGTTCGCAAAGACTGGGCCGCGAAGAGAGGCGTTGCGGTTCCGCCGCCGCCCACTCTGGCCGAGGCTTTTGGTTTGATTGACGGCCGCATGGCTTCGGTCGAGTGTAGCCGTGAAGTGTCGGCGCCGTTCACTGCCATCAAACCGGTCGAGAAGGAGAAGGTGCGGCTCGTGGGCGCCGCCAAACGCAAGGCTTACAACAATCCCATCGCTTATGTCGACCCATAGATTACATTACATTTTATACTTAATTATTGTCTCTTTTATCCTGTTTTTAATCTTTTGAATCAAACTATAAATTCATTGAATTTTTTTTAGCATTTTTTATGATATAACTAATAATTTTTAAATTGTACTCAATTTCCAATCATTAAACTCTCATTACAATTGTTAACAGCATTTAAAATAAGATAATTACTGTATTTTAATTAAAATAATGATAAATAAAAGCATTTAATTACTAAATCCTTTATTAGTCTACACTTGAAAACCCATTTGAAAATTAATTTTTAGTTTCTTTCTGAGAAGATATCCAATGAAAGCAAAGATTATAAAACCCAACGAGAGTTTGATGGCTGAGAATAGTCTCGGTTGTGATGTCTTGAGCCAATGGTGGTAAGCGATTGGTCCGAAACGATCATCAGATTCAGTGCAGTCTATCAATTGCTTTAATCGGTTTGCTTCACACTATTGGACACAACATTTTTGATTATAACAGCAATTAATTAATTTAAAAATAATTACTTCATAACTCAATTCTTGGCCACAAGAATAGCAATATTTGATACTCTGTTTGCTTTTGAATAGTATTATAAAACCATTTCCTTTACAACTGTTTGGATTTAATATTAAACACGATTTCTCGCTAAATGTGCTAAAAATAGCGATCACTTCCAGACTTGGATCCAATTTTTGAATCACTTTTTGCTCGTAATTAATATTCTGTGGTTTGGGTGTCAAGTGTTTACTGAATTTATAAAATTGCAATTTTCTAACAAATGTTCCCGATTTTTGTCTCTTTTGGTCCACAAAACAGACAACATTCTCATCACTAGTGTTTGGATTGAATGCGAAAGCAATCGTTGGCTTGAAGTGACCGAAATTGATATGAAGAGCGCCCAAACACTGAGATTCATATAAATCATTGCCCGAAAACTTTCCCCAATATATTGTTTGAGTGTATTTCTAAGAAAATACAATCAATTTATTAAATAAATGTGTGTTTTATGGCAAATAAAGTATCGCTGATAAGACAAACCGATACGAGACCAGTGGTGTAATCGTTGTCATTGTTTGCGAGACTGAATCCCATTTTGTATTCACTCCAAAACCAATCGCTTTCTTTGCCAACCATTGATGTGAAACGGATTTGTTTGTAGCAATCGTTTGGATGGTCTCTGAACTCAATGTCCCAAAAGTGTCTGTCGATCACTAAATATAGTTTTGAATTTATATATCGTTTGTTGTGCTTATAACCGAAACCAATGCTCTTGTGGTTAGAATTGAATGCTTTACAGAAATCTCTTGTCTCTCCGATCGCCACAAATAAACACATTATTATAATTGTTTTGTTCATTATATTTATAAACTAATCGTATTATACTTTGAAATTCAATATTTAGTTAGTCTATTGACTAAAATTAAATATTTAAAATTTCTAAAATGATTTTTAATAATACGTTATGAATGCGACAAATATTTATTTAAATTATTTATAAGTTTAGTAAATAATATTTTAAAATTGTTTATTTTACAACAATATAAGTTTGAGATTTAGATAAAATTGATTTTTATAATTTGTACAATAATTGTATTTACTAATTAGTAATTACTAATTTTGGCAAATTAGTAATTAGTATTTATAAATGTTTATAAATGTTATAAGTTTTTATAAGTATTTTATTAATAATCTATTAATATTATTCAAAATATAGCCAATTAATTGTTTTGTAATAATATTATATCACTAATAGATTATCAATTAATTGCACAGCATTTTTATAATTTACAGAATCTATGATTAAGCTAAATCTTATATAGAATTCATATAAATTTAAAACTAAATTACAAATTTATAATTTAAAAAGAGTTTTCTCACTTGTTTTCTAAATTTATATAATTTAAAAGCAATCAATAATAGATATAATTTCATACGAAATCAGTCAATATTCACATTGAGAACTAGTTCTTGAGTTCCCATTCAATGCTAAATGAATATAAAATACTTTTTTTCAATCATTGATCCAAAATATCTTTTTGGTTAATCAAATGCAAAATATTTTATGCAAATCTTTGATTTTCTCGATTTACTGTCCATTTTCTAACATTTAATATAGAGTTTGAATGCATCACTTCATCCATTGAATCGTTTGTTTGAACTGAAACTCGTGTCAAATAAATTCAGAAAACAATCTCTTTGTTTCTTTAATTTATTAATTTATTAAAATAGATGCCATTTGTAAGGCTTGGCTCGCATTCAGTCCGGTTGGTTCGGGTGCGGATCGATCTGCAAATTGACATTCATTTCAGTTATTTGTTTTATAATTAATACCAATTGTTTTTAAATCATTTCAAAAGTTAACCAATAGTTACCTCGGAATAGGCGGGCGGCGGCAGCGCTGGGCTATAATTATGGACGTATGCGTACATCGGTGTAAATCTTGTGTCTCCAATGATATCTCCGTCCTCGTCGTCCCCGATATCCACTGAACCGCTGATACACTCGGCATAAGTTGGCGGCGCTTTTGATCATCAATAGAGTAATTGCTGTTAAAAATAATTTTATTACTAAATACTAACAAAACTTACGCGTAATTGAAATGTCTTCGAGTTCGAGGGCTGAATAGGAGGGCACCGGCGGGTAGAAAGTCATTCTCGCCTCCGACGGTCTCATAAGTGGATTCCTATACTGAGAGCCGGAGGGTTGAGCTCTGAGGGGAACCGTTCCCACAATGATTGGCAAATAGACGGACAGATTATAGGCGATGAGCGGTATTTGTAGCGTAATTCTGACCGCGTATTCAACTTTAATGAGGGAACAGTTGACAATAGATGGCGAGACGGCCGGTATCTTCAGGAGCTGTGCGTCCCAATTGGCGGTCCGTCGGGGCTGAATGGCCAGACCCGTCACGATTGTGAACTTGAAACGCCGGGAACGGGATTTCCCTGTGGCCAGGAATGTCTGGGACTGGTATAGCGTGGCGTGAGGTATGATTGTACGGCGCGAGTGGTTCTCAAATTCAGCCGTTATTGATATCGACTCTCCTTTTGATTTAATAATTGTTTATAATTTTTAAAATTCATTTTGTTTAAAGTGTTTGTGAAGCGAATACCCGGACAATAGCCGGTCCTATCGGTCCTGGCGTACAGATGTATGGGTCCGGACGTACAGCACAAACAACACAGCGATTTCTCGATACTATTCTCGACGGGTGTCTGAAATGTTAAAAATAGTTTTTGTTTTTAAACTCAAACTCTGTTTTATATTTACGATTTTGAATACTTGTAAAACATTATCGTTATTAATAGTCGTTTGGAAATTACAAAAGCTGTAAAAAGTTTTGAGTGCATTGAAAATTGTGTACTAAAATTCACATCAAATGTTATGATTAACTATCGTTGACATCAATTAAACTGTTGGCACATCTTTGCGATTATACTTTCAAATTGAAAATTCTGTATTGTTTTTAGTAATAGTATTAACAATAATATTAACAATAATTGAATAAAATATGTAGTATTAAGACATTGACATTTCAATCAATTAGTGAAATTAATGTTCAAAATCATTTTAGTCTAATTTATTTTGGCATTCAATGCTTTTCGTATGAAATAATTAATCTAAAAATAAAATTAATTTCATTTGTGTCGTGAAAAAGAGTGGCATTTATTTCAATACCTCTAAAAATCTATTAAACATATTATAAAAGAGAATTTTAATTAAAGTATTGCATAATAGTAAGCCAACTTGTTGTGAAATTAACATGTATATTACATAACACACCACTTATTGATTAGATATAAATAAATAAAACTTTAATTTACATTACAATATATAATTCATTGTAAACATAATGAAAAATACTCACTAAATATTCTCGTCTATTAATATCAATAGGACTGATGACAGTAAAAGCTTTTTTGGTTTTATGGTTGAAACCCCAGGGCTTCTCCACCTCAGCCTTCAGCCAATACCTAACGTTTCCATATTTGCCTTCAAATGATGTCGAGATTCCTCTGCATTGCATAAAAATTGTAATTATTTGTCAAATTAAATCGATTCCTAATATAAACACATTCTTGAACTAAATCTATGGCAAAATTAATGGGAAAAATATTTTTAAAATGTATTACCCGTTCGGCAATTGAAAGGCAAACATGAATTCGTGGTGTCCTTCAGATAATACATCTCTACTATCACTCGATTCTTGTGGTGAAAATTGCATTCAAATTGAGATTTAAATAAATATTAATTTCGTTTTCGCGGATTACTGTTTGCATTAATAATATTTATATGTTATTTAGATTTCATTCAAATTATTTATTTGAATAAGAATTACGGAATTTTTAAAAATAACAACTCTTTTCGTGTCTGTGTTTTGAATTACATCACAAATGAATGGGAATTTTAATGTGTTTTAAAAACGCTTAAAATAATTAAATTCATATTTATTAAAAAATTATATATTTGTGATTACAAAAGTCATCTTCGTCATAATGTTGAATTATATATTTTAAAAATAAATAAATTAACCTCATTAGAATTTTTAAAAACATTAACAACTATTCTTTCAAATTATGAAATTATAAACAAATAAAATATTTTTAGCATGAATTGAATTTTAAGCGATAGTAATACGGGTTTTAGAAAAATATCTGTCATTAAGTGAAAGGATTATAGTATTGAGAAAAGCGATTATTTCGATGTCAGTCAACACTATGAGAGCAATACCTGTCGCTAATGTTTAAATGTTTGTTTGCATTTCAAGACCACTCACGGCATTGAATGGCAAATTCCAGCGCAAAACTTATCGTAAATAAAGTGAACATATTTTTTGGATTACAACAAATATTCTGCAATTCTTCACATTTTATTTTTAGTAATTTGATTAACAAAAACATATTTGTAAACAACTCACAATTTTCTGTATAATTTTATAACGAGTTAATTACTATTTATGAAATTCTTTGAATTATTGTAAATAGAGAATTATGTTTTTGACCAAATAAGTCTCATTTTTAAAAATCAATTCTGATAATGGTTAGTTAATAATTTTAAACAATGCACAGTGCTTAATAATTTTGACGAATAAATTTAAATAGATTATTAGATTAAATTATTATTATTTTAATAGAGTATATGAATACTAATTTATAAAAGTTTAATAATTTTAACTATTGATAGTAATTAATAAATGAATGGTAGAGTACATACCGGGTCCGCAAAGGACCTGTTTCTTAAAGAAGTATTCAATCTCCGCGTTGTAGTGTTCAGTATAAGCGCCCAATCGGTTGCCGGTGGACCGGGACTCAGTCCAATGCACTTTAGCCACACCACGCATATACACCTTAATGGACTTGAGTTTGAGTTCACTTCTCAATTCAATCATACATTTGCCCTTCACATCCTGTCCCGGATAATACACATTTTGATTCGAGTCCAACACTATCTCAAACAACTTTAATTTGCCCATGGTCTTATTATGTTGCGTTCAATTCATACTAACTAATAATACGATTAAAACAATACTATGAATGAAGTGAATGGGAGTGTGAGAGACGGGAGGGCATCGATATATACCACTATATTCTTGTGGTACTGATGGCTCTCTCCATACGAAAAGTTTGCTATTTATAAACCCAATGAATGCATTGCGAGAACTAAAACGTTGAATACATTGGTATCAGTGAACAAATATTTGTCGATTTTGTCACATCTTTACACATATTTGTAGACTTTATTCATGAAAATTCTGTTGAAATGTTATTTTGGTTATTATTATCATTTTGAGACAACAATTGATAAACATTTTAATTTGTGATTTCATTCAATGACTATCATTATTAATACATTCACTTTGCGTTTAGTAATCATAAATATTATTGATTACAATAAAATTGAAACAAATATATAATTAATAAATATTACAATTTTTAATAATTCATTTGTCGCTCACATAAAGGATTAAAAATATAACACATAATTCACACCAGAATTCAGAGCTGTGTTTGACTTATTTAAGTGAGAAAAACGGTTTCAGAAATATGTGTAATGGAAATGCCTTTGACTTGATTTGAGTGAATCGCACGCAACCATCACATCATCACATCCTCTGCCAAATAAATCTCTGATAACTATTGCTTTCGGTTCACATATTTGTGACACTATTTTATTTTAGTAAACATTGAAAGAGATTTTTTAAAAGCATTCAATCCATCACTTCTACAGTATATTCTTTATGCAAACAATATTCAATTTCTAATTCATTAATTGATTTTAATTAATTAACATTATTTTAAATGACTAATGTATATAAAAAAAATTAATTACTATTTATTTAAATAAATGAAAACTAATTTTAGCTAAATCGAAATTCTATTTAAATTAAATTACAAATCGATTCAATAGATTTTACATGTGGAAGAATATGAGGGACTGAGAGCAGAAAAAACGTCCAGTTTTAATGTTGTCTTTACTGCAATGTCTATTGTATTTGCTATAGCAGTGCATAATAGACATTGCAGTAAAGACAACATTAAAACTGGACGTTTATTCTGCTCTCAGTTTCTCATATTGTCTTATAAATTAAGCAATTCATTAAATAAATGTAATAAAATTAATTAAATTGTTTTGTAAAACCTCAATGAAAAGGACTACAACTTAACGTGTTTTGAGATGAATAAAGTTACAGATGTTAGTCGTGAAAGTTTGGGTATGTTTAGTGGTCTCGATAAACATAGTCATCGTTAGGCTATTTTCATACTCCATTCAAATGCTACTCATATATAAAGAGTAGCACTAATATTTTTAGCACTATCTACAGTATAGCACTTTAGTATAAAGTACAGTACACTAATATCAAAAGTGGGGTTTGAACATATTTACCCAACATTGAAAATTAAATTATCCAATTTTAAGTTCAGGGGAAACTATGCTTTATAATTAGTAACGATTATTTTGAATAATATATGACAATTTAACTTGGTGATTCAATAACCACGTCATAATAAAATTACCTTTTCTCTAACTTATGGAACTTATGTATATGAGTGATAACTTGAATCAAATATTGTTTTAAATTCTAATTGAATTTTTAAATTCCAAAGCACATAAAGATTCAACATGATAATTTACCGATTATTGGATCATTGTATTTACGCATAATTCTCAAAAACAATAGATATAATATTGATTTATATATACGTGAAAATTGTGGTGCCTATGCGCATTCTGAATGGATTGTAGGTTACCTAGGCATGGACTAAAAAGTACAATTATTATTGGAGTACCAATATCGTTAGTTGATATTGCTTGGTAATTTAATATTGTTGAATAAAGTTCAATTTATTTTTATATGGGATTTTTAAATAAACGAATCAAATTTTAGTCACGATCATAGCCCTAATTAACGCATTCTGAATGGATTGTAGGTTACCTAGGCATGGACTAAAAAGTACAATTATTATTGAAGTACCAATATCGTTATAACATATCACTTGGTAATTTAATATTGTTGAATAAAGTTCAATTTATTTTTATATCGGATTTTTAAATAAACGAATCAAATTTTAGTCACGATCATAGCCCTAATTACATGCCAATTAATTTTACATCAATTTCTTTATTCATAAAATCTGTAAACGTTCTCTTAAATGATTTGAGAGACAAAGAATTACTGACAAGTTCATATATACGTGGAAATTGTGGTGCCTGTGCGCATTCTGAATGGATTGTAGGTTACCTAGGCATGGACTAAAAAGTACAATTATTATTGAAGTACCAATATCGTTAGATTACCTAGGCATGGACTAAAAAGTACAATTATTATTGGAGTACCAATATCGTTAGTTGATATCGCTTGGTAATTTAATATTGTTGAATAACTTTCAAATTATTTTTATAACGGATTTTTAAATAAACCAATAATATTTTAGTCACGATCATAGCCCTAATTACATGCCAATTAATTTTACATCAATTTCTTTATTTATAAAATCTGTAAAAGTTTTGTTAAATATTTGAGAGACAAAGAATTACTGACAAGTTCATATATACGTGGAAATTGTGGTGCCTGTGCGCATTCTGAATGGATTGTAGGTTACCTAGGCATGGACTAAAAAGTACAATTATTATTGAAGTACCAATATCGTTATAACATATCACTTGGTAATTTAATATTGTTGAATAAAGTTCAATTTATTTTATATCGGATTTTTAAATAAACGAATCAAATTTTAGTCACGATCATAGCCCTAATTACATGCCAATTAATTTTACATCAATTTCGTTATTTCTAAAATCTGTAAACGTTCTCTTAAATGATTTGAGAGACAAAGAATTACTGACAAGTTCATATATATGTGGAATTTGTGGTGCCTGTGCGCATTCTGAATGGATTGTAGGTTACCTAGGCATGGACTAAAAAGTACAATTATTATTGGAGTACCAATATCGTTAGTTGATATTGCTTGGTAATTTAATATTGTTGAATAAAGTTCAAATTATTTTTATAACGGATTTTTAAATAAAGTAATAATATTTTAGTCACGATCATAGCCCTAATTACATGCCAATTAATTTTACATCAATTTCTTTATTTATAAAATTTGTAATAGTTTTGTTATGTTATTTGAAAAACAAAGAATTACTGACAAGTTCATATATACGTGGAATTTGTGGTGCCTGTGCGCATTCTGAATGGATTGTAGATTACCTAGGCATAGACTAAAAAGTAAAATTATTATTGAAGTACCAATATCGTTATAACATATCACTTGGTAATTTAATATTGTTGAATAAAGTTCAAATTATTTTTATAACGGATTTTTAAATAAAGTAATAATATTTTAGTCACGATCATAGCCCTAATTACATGCCAATTAACTTTACATCAATTTCTTTATTCATAAAATCTGTAATAGTTTTGTTAAATTATCTGAGAGACAAAGAATTACTGACAAATTCATATATACGTGGAATTTGTGGTGCCTGTGCGCATTCTGAATGGATTGTCGGTTACCTAGGCATGGACTAAAAAGTACAATTATTATTGGAGTACCAATATCGTTAGTTGATATCGCTTGGTAATTTAATATTGTTGAATAACTTTCAAATTATTTTTATAACGGATTTTTAAATAAACAATATACGTGGAATTTGTGGTGCCTGTGCGCATTCTGAATGGATTGTAGATTACCTAGGCATAGACTAAAAAGTACAATTATTATTGAAGTACCAATATCGTTAGTTGATATTGCTTGGTAATTTAATATTGTTGAATAAAGTTCAAATTATTTTTATAACGGATTTTTAAATAATCGAATAATATTTTAGTCACGATCATAGCCCTAATTACATGCCAATTAATTTTACATCAATTTCTTTATTCATAAAATCTGTAATAGTTTTATTAAATGATTTGAGAGATTGCGATTATTTATAATTAGGATTTAAGCGATTAATTGATTTCACGCGAAACGGATCTAAAGTTTTGTCACAAATTTTGTTACTTTTGGGGTTGAATTGAAAATATTCGGCTCTTCTCTTATATATCCCCGAAAAGTGTGACTTTTGTTCCAACAAATAAGCAATACTTGAGTTACGGCTCATGTAATGCATTGCAAATGCTATGGTAGGCCTGAAATCATCAAATTTTATATCTTCAACGCCAATACATTTGGATTTATAGATATTTCTGTTCTCAAACTCAACCCAATATATCTTATTCTCTATTCTCTGATTAATTGTAAAAATAAGGGAATTTGAAAATTTTAATAAAGTTGTTAATATATTTACGGGAAGAGTGCTGTTCTAAAGCCCTTTCCTTTGTTATCATTGATTGTGAAGGCCATTGAGAACTGATCCCAGAATATATCGTTGTCTTTACCATTGTTTGTGATCAGTTGAGCCCTATTATCAATGAGACGTTTTTCATATTTTATTTGCCAAAAGTAGCGGTCGATCACTAAATACAGAGGAGATGTGTCTTCAGGGCTGATGTGACGAAAACCAAAACTAATTCTTTTATTATTTGCATTGAATTCTCTGCAAAAGTTTATTGAATTGCAAATTGCGATCAATTGATGCAAATCTAGAATAAGAATAGAAATTATTAATTAATTTGTACGAAATTTGTTTAATTTTTACATAAAATTGCTGTCAATAATAAAATATTTGTCATTTATTTGATCGATAATCAAATTTTGAATATCTTAATGATTTTTTTGTAAGTTTTTATAAAATTGGATTTAAATATGAAAGCAATTGATAACAAATCTTTTATACGGTATAATGAGTTTAAGGTGTTTGATATAAGTTTTACAATAATTGTTAATTGTTTTAATTTATTAAATTTAACAATTAGAAAATATCACGTGGTAAAATATCTATTTATTTATTTGATATAAAAAGGCATTGAGAAAACATTTTACGTGAAGTTTTTAGGAGAATAACACTTCAATTGTTGTAAACAAACGTTTAAATTATTCAAAAATTAAGTTAATATTTCAACGAATGGTTTAAAGAAATCTTATTTTTAGACC